AGCCATGCTGGCTGGGGAATTCTGGGAGTTGAAGTCCACTCATCTTAAAGTGGCCAAGTTTGGACAACACTGCTCTAGTGTAAAGTTTATTTTATGCGATTATGTGCCATCAAGTCATGTTGACCTTTAGCAACCACACAGGTAGATTTTCTCCATGATTATTTTTATGTATGTATGTGTATTCTTTTGCCTTTTCTTTGTTTTTGCTTTTTTTGTTGTTTGTTTTACCTAATTAATTAAAAAAATAATAATAAAACAAGGGGAAAGAGTGTGGTTAAAAAAGTGTGATAAAAGTATGACTACCACATATAATCTAGGAAGTAAATTCTATTCTAAAAGAGCCAAATAGATAGAGAGAAATTAACTCTGCACTTAACAATACAATTAAGCAGAATTGATAGGCATTAGTCCACTGGGGTGAACATTATTTTAACCCAAAGGAAAAGGCAGGAAAAGACAGTTATTAAAACAATGCTCAGCTTACTAGAATAAGAACCACAGATATTTATACAAAATAGAGATAGACTAAGATTGTACTTCAACACTGCTGAAGTACTTCAAAAAACTACATAAACCTATAATACAGGTCAGTATGATTGCCAATTACAATTCTGGCTGAAATTGACTTGCTGATTCTCTTCCTTCTGTGATTATTCAGAATAATTTTCATTTATTGTGGAAGAAAGATATCAATCTGAATTTAAAACTTTGTTGTCTCTCAGCACAATTTCTGGTTTCCTTGGGTCCTGAGAGAATCACAACTGCATTGAAACAATGGTTTTTATACTGCTATTCAGAAAGGTCAGAGTGTGCTATTCACTTTTATAGTGCTGAACCATCTGGAAGTGGTTTTACCCCACTAAGTATGTTTCTAATATTTTGTGCCAATCATAGATTAATGCTTCCATGAAAGGACATTTCTCAACATCCCATTTCAGGAGTTTCTGCCCTTGTCAGGAGAAATCAAGACAGTAACACCACTCCATTTTTACTCAGCATGGCACCCAGATCTAATAATCTGATTAGAACCTTGGTAGGCTGGATTAGGAGAAAAATCTCTTTTTTTATTAGCTGATAAGTCTCCAGTAATGTTCTTTATAGCTATCTCAGGGTAGGGGATCTATTTTCAGGATCAGTCATTTTCTACATACAGATTTTAAACCACGTTTACTTGTTTTAGCTTTTGCTTAAGTATTTGTCAAGTTTCATTTTTATTTCTGAAACATGTTTGATTTTTTTACAGTAAAACAAATAAATAAGTGAAATAAGACCGCAATAACAGTTACACATCTTCACCTATCTCAGAATGCTGATTTACTATTGCTAAAGAAAGGAAAAACATGGTGCGTGGGGACAATGGGATGGTGTTAAGGAGGAGGGCACGGCAGACTTCACACACTTTAAACAAAAAAACTTGGTTTCACTGCAGGTTCCACTGATATTTTTATAGTACGCTATTTTGATTCCATTCATATATGCTTCATACGCATGTGACTATTTGAACCTTTTTAACTCTTTGCCCAAAGTGGAAAGAAGTAGAATAGAATAGATAATGCACTACAATATGTACAACAACTAGAAAAATACCTTATCGTTACTGGAGTAAAGAGGAGCACTGTAGTAACATTGTCCAGGAAGGCTGAGAGAATTGCAGCAATAAGACAAAGAATTATAATCATGGCCCACACCCTACCTCGAGAAAGTCTGTAAGCCTAATAAAAAGACAAAGGGAAGAAGATAGTGAAATAGGTGAAGGTGATCAACACCATGATGCAACTTTATGCAGATTAGCTGTTCTGGTCATGATCTACATTAGGGCAGTGTTGTCCAAACTTGGCCACTTTAAGATGAGGCTGGCTGGGGAATTCTGGGAGTTGA